GCTGGCATGTGGTGCTGGGGGATTGAACCGTGGTCCCTGTGCTTTGCCAAGCTTGTTCCAAGTAGGTGCTTTAGACCACTGAGCCATCTCTCCAGCCCAGAAGCAACATTTTAATGGGCTCATTGCACTGTCTTTCCTGTTTTTGTTTTGTTTTTCTATTTGTGCTGATATTCACTACCATATCCCTTACAGGATGCTGGGCACTTAGAAGTTACTGGGTGAGATATCTACACACCAGTGTCTCCCTAGCAAAGCTCCTTGCAACCTGAGGCTCTGTCCTTTTTATTTGTATTTCCAGGATAAATACAGTAATCTAAGGGCCAGCATAGCAAACCCTTAAGAACTGGAACAAGGGAGGCCGCCTCCACCTGTAAGCCAGGGGATTCTGTGACACTCGTGTGCCCTCTAGTGGTACGGGTAGGAATTCCTCCTGGTTCTGTATCATGTCCACAATCCTAAAGAACCAGCTGAAATCAAGTTGAAATTATCCGCCCACAGATTTATAAATCTGATGCCTGGTGAAGTTAACTCTGCCAAGTGTAGGTAACTACAGTGATAGATTTTTAAATGCTTTCAGAGGTGAAGAGATAGAGGACTGAGGGTTACTTGATTTGAAGGCTGAGTTCCTAAATCATCTGAACTGCTCCTAATAGAACCACTCCTAGGGACTGGGGAGATGGCTCATAGGATAAGCGCTTGACTGGCGAACGCAAGGATCTCAGTTCAATCCCTGGTTCCACCAAAAAAAAAAAAAAAAAGAACCACTGCTAATTTTACTGAAAAAATGATGCTCGGAGCTTGAGAAGGCGGCAGACACCTGTAATTCCAACAGTCTGGGCAGTTGTGGGAGGAGGATTGCAAAATTCAAGCCTAGCCTCGGCAATTAAGCAACTTAGTCCTTGTCTAATAAATTTTTTTAAAGGGGTGGGTTGGGAATGTAGCTCAGTGCAAAAGCTCTGGGTTCAATCCTCAGTACTGGAAAGAAAGCAGGCATGATGGCACACACCTGTAACCCCAGGAAGCTTGCTACGAGTTCAAGGCCAGCCTGAGAGTTCAACAGAGAGACTGTCGAAAGAAAGAAACAAACAAACAAGAAAAACGGCTAGTGAAATGGTCAGGTAACAAACACAAGAGGAGCTAGAAGGGCAAGCAACATGAAAGATTAATTTTTGTTTTTTTTATTTTTTTTTTTAATTTTTTTTAATTATTTATTTTTATTTATTACATTTATTTATTGTGTGTGTGTGTGGCCCGCTCAGCCCACCAGGGGGCGCGGCTGGCTGGCATGTGGCGCTGGGGGATCGAACCGCGGTCCCTGTGCTTTGCTTAGCTTGTTCTAAGTAGGTGCTTTAGACCACTGAGCCATCTCACCAGCCTTTTTGTTTTTTTTAAAAGGGGGAAATCTGGGGCCAGGAGATGGCTCAGTAGAATGAGCACTTCCCATGGCAAGCGCAAGGGCCTGAGTACAATCCCCAGTTCCGCTAAAAAAAACAAAACAAAACAAAACAAAAAAGGGAGAAAACTGGGGAGGCTGAGTCAGGAGGACCCCTGAGTCTCAGCTGCGTCTCGGGACCCTGTACCAAATAAATAAATATATCAATGGCTTAAAAGGGGGGGGGAGCAAGTCTTCCTGCAGGCCCAGGACCCAAGCCCTAGACCCAAGCCTCTCTTCCTAATGAAAGCTACTGGTGCCGGATTCTCAGGAGCCCTTCCAGCAAGGTGCTCAGTTCACAGGTTTGCTCAGGACCTTGTCCGCTTTAGCCTTAAAAGATTGCATAGGGCCAGGGAGATGGCTCAGTGGAATAAGCGCTTCTCTGGCAAGCGCAAGGGCCTGAGTTCAATCCCTGGTTCTGCAAAAAAAAAAAAAAAAAAATTGCATCCTGGGAACCCTTCCATTTAAGGTAAACCTGGGCAGCGGATCCCCCTACCTGCACAAAGCCTCTATCCATCTGGCAGACATATACTACTCACACCACTCAGCTCTGTAATGTTTTGCAGATCATTCCATATCAGATGTATATTTTGTTTTATTTCTACACAGGATCTCACCAGGTACCCCAGGCTGGCCTTGAATAGCAGCAGGCTTCCCGAATGCTGGGATCCCAGGTGGGCCCCACCACACCCGACAAATCCTCTGACTTTTTTTGAGACATATCCTCTCGCTATGCATGCAGTTCAGGAAGGCCTTGAGCTCACTTTGTAGCCCAGGCTCGTCTGGAACTCCATCATCCTCTTTCCTCGGCCTCCTAGCCTTCTGAGTGCTGAGATTACGGGTGTGCCCAATCCTGATTTAGAAATTAAAGATACAGCAGTAAACATAGACAAAAACACTTGTCCTCCTGGAGTTGAAAGTCAGCAATTAATCTGCTGTGTTTATTTGTGCCCTGGCCACTACGCAGGTTGCCTCCAGCCTTTTCTCACTCTGACCACTGCTATCCTGGACATCTGCATGGCGGCATCTCTCCAACAGGAGTGAGCCAAGTGAGCTTTCGCAGCCACACCATCCAACAGAACTGTCTGCAATGATGGAATATTCTAGGTCTGCTACTAAAACCTAGAAATATGAGTAGTGAGACTGAAGAATTCTAATTTTAATTTTTTTCCACTACTGGTGATTGAACCCAGATCCTTCACACTGAGCTGCATCCCAACCCTTTTTCGTTTTTTATTGAGACAGGGTCTCACTAAGTTGCTCAGACTGGCTTGGAACTTGAGTCCGCTTGCCTCTGCTTTCCAGGGTGCTGAGATTATAGGCACTCAGCGCCACGCTCAAACGTTTAATTAAAATGTATTTAAATTCACAGAGCCCTAAGTGCTGCACAGCACGACCCTAAAAGTCTTGAAAACAGAAAATGTAAATCAAGGGTGCGCACTCTTGCAATCTAGATATCTGCAGCTACATAAATTACCCCAAACTTTTTTTTGAGAGAGGGTCTCTGTATGTAGTTCAGGTTGGCCTTGAACTCACGATGTAGTCCAGGCTGGTCTTGCAGCACTCCTCTCCCGCCTCAGCCTCCCATGTCCTGGGACTGCAGGCCTGAGCCACTGTGCCTGTGGCTTCTTGTACAAAGTACTGTCTCAATCCTCGTGGATTGGGCTGGGGAGATGGCTCGCTCAGAAGCGCAAGGGTCTGAGTTCAATCCTTGGTTCCGCCAAAAAAAAAAAAAAAAAAAAAGAAGAAGAAAGTTCATGGTCAATCCTTGGGGTAAGGAGGGCAAGCGTAGTGTGGCTGGGCTTTTATATTCTCACCAGGCTGTAATCCACGTGCTGGATGGGCTACACGCTCATCTAGTACCTCAACTGGACAGGAAGCGGGAAAGAAACGCATCTGAAGCTGAGGTAGCTGGCAGAACACTCTTCAGCTCGCAGGGACCGGAAGTCCCGCCCCTCCCCTCCCCGCCCCGCCGGGCATAGCCCCGCCCCTCACGCAGGCCCCGCCCCGCCCCAGCTACTCAGTCTCGGACGAAGTCGCGCGTTGGTCCGCGGCGGCAAGATGGCGGCGCAACAGCAGGCCTGGGCGGCCGCTACGCAGCTGGCGGCGGGGCCCGCCGCGGAGGCAGACCCGCTAGCTCGCTTCACTTGTCCCGTGTGCTTAGAAGTGTACGAGAAGCCGGTGCAGGTGCCCTGCGGACACGTGTAAGTGGGAGCCGGTGGTGGGAGCGCCTGTCCGGGTGGGAAATGGAGCTGAGGAGCGACTCCGGACCGGAGGGTCTGAGGTTGGGGCGAGACCACCGGCGGCCGCAGGGCCTCCCCTCCCGGCTTCCCGACGCCGAGCGAGCCGGGGGCGCTGTCCCGGCTGCGAGCGCCCGCCGTGTCGGGCTCCTCCAGTAGCGACCGCGGAGTCACAGCGTCCCACGGGCCCGCTGGGGTCCGGAGCCCGCCCCGGTTTCCTCTCAGCAGTCCGCGTGTCTGTCCATAAATGTACTCCCCGGGCGTCCGTGATCGGTCTGCCGAGTATTTCTAGTAAGCTAAAGTTGGAGAAACAGAACTAGACAGGAGAACAAAAGGGAAGTCCTTGTGCAGATCGGCTTTAACGCGACAGGGCGTGTGGGTGGCCGATAGGGGTGACTGGCGTTTCTGCTACTTGCGTATGAAGTTTGTTCCATTCTGTTTTTAATGGCCTGCAGACTGTTGCAGTGTAGACTGGTTGTGACAATGAAAGGCGAGTGTAGCTGTGACCAACCAGTACAGTCCTGGGTTGCGTAGGTGCTTGAGGTGGAGGGGATTTAAATCAGAAACCTTGTGCATACGCACACCCACCCCAGAGCCGAACGAATCAGGGAATATGGCCTTTTGTCTTGGAGGTGACACTTCCTCCGTGGCCTCCCTCGATATTTTTCATGGGCATCACTTTGGCCTAGATCTTGGGGACCGCTTTACTCGTCAGGTCAGCCGATGTTGTAGCTACCTGCTGGGGCCCAGGGCATTATTGCTGCAGGTGTCCGGTTGCAAGAGCGGGGGAGGGGTGCTGGCAGCTGTTTTACAGGTGGATGAACTCAGGGGACAGGCTCGCCAAAAGTCTATGCTCAGGTGTATTGAAGGCGCCTGTTCGGCAAACCCAGCGAACACTACTTGCCACCTGGCGAGGGCTCCGCAGCCACACTGACTGCAAGTGGCTGCTTCGTGTACACGAAGCTCCTCCAGCGTCAGGCTATTCCTCTTTGTAGACTAGTTAACCTGAAAATCTCAACCCTCGTCTGTACCTCTCCCAAAACCCTCTCAAGCTTCGAGTCCCAGTTTAAATGACCTCCGCAGTTCTCTCTCGGAACTGCCTTACCTTTTCCTTGCATGGAGCAACGCTTAGGAATCAAAAGGGCAATAACGGAAGAAAAAAAAGGGGGGGGCAATAACGGTTAGCGTTTTGGGTGTTTTGGTGTTTTTTTTTTTTTGCCCCTCATTGAATCTCAGTGTCTGAGCCCCAAATTCCAGTCGTCCACTCAGCTGTAGGCTGGTGCTCTGGCACATTGTTGGGTCGAGTAAGGTGATTCTGCCCTCAGTTTACAATCCAGCAAATTGATTATAAATAACAACTAATAAATATTCAAACCTTTGTGCATATGCTCAGTGCACCAGGAGGATATTGTTGGGTTGGGCAAGGCTCGCTCGGGTTGGGTATTAACATCTTGTGAAAGAGAGACTTGGCCCAGCAGTTTACCAGTGGGCAAATGGCACAGTTTGAGGTTTCATAAGTCAGAGGGCAGGGAGCAGCGCTGGGATTCAGCCTTACCTCTGCTCATAGTACTCGTTCTGTTTGTTCAGTTCAGCTGTGACAGATGGAGGCTCCCTTGGGCCCCTGCCAGTACTTTGTGCTTTACCTACTTGATTTTTAACTCTTGTGCCTGGAAACTTGAGCATCACTGCAGGTGTAGGTGACACATTAGAATTTTTTATTAAACTTTATTTCAAACCCAAAATGTCTGTATTCTTCCAGAGAAATACAGCTGGAGAAGGCTGGTGGCTAGATGCCCAAGAGTGGGAGTTTATACGCAGCACTGAGACAGGCTAGAATATCCGGAAGGCTAAAGTAAAAGAACCACTAGGAGGAAATAGAAACTAAAAGCTAACCCCAAAGCTATTTAAAAGCAGACTGAGTCAGGCTTAGGATTCTGTGGTTCAATCCCCAGATCCTCATGCCTTACCAGACCTGCCCTTAAGGCATCCTGAGCCTGCCAAAACAAAAAAATCCTTCTGAACTTTTTGGGGTCAGGGAGATGGCTCAGTAGAATAAGCACTTGCCTGGCAAGCACGAGGGCCTGAGTTCAGTCCCCAATTCCACTAAATAAATAAATAAAATAAAAGCAGACTTGCTAAAGCAGAACCTGAGCCAGGTGTAGTGGTACACACTTATAATCCCAGTACCAGGGAGGCTGAGGCAGAGGTAGGAGGATTGTTGCGAGTTTGAGACCAGTTTGGGCTACAAAGTGAGCTCAAGTCCAGCCTGAACCATGTAGCAAGACCCTGCCTCAAAAAGACAAAGCAGGACCTGGTAGCACATGCCTGTAAATCCACATTCTGGGAGGCTGAAGCAGAAGGATACCAGCCTGAGGATTAGACCTTGTTTCAAAATTTAAAATAATTATAAAGGGTTGGGATGCAGTCAGTACAAATACGTGGGTTCAACCTTTAGCATGCCCCCCCCCATTGTTTGTTGGGTGTAACTCATATAACGGGGCTTCTGAACATTTTTAGGGATTTTTTTTTTTTTTTTTTTGGTGAAATTGGGGATTGAACTCAGGCTCTTGCACTTGCCAGGGAAGCGCTTATTCCACTGAGCCATCTCTCCGGCCCCTATCTCAACATTTTTGATAGGCCAGCTATACCACATAGTAATCTTAGTAAGCTGCTGGTACCTATACACTGGTCTGGTTTCACTGTGACACTGCTCTTTGGTCATGCTGGAGACCTGCCTTTGCCAGGAGGCAGCACAGCAATGCCAGAGGCTCCACTCGCCCTCATCTCTTTTGCCTGTCTTGGTAGAGTCTGCCACACCCATCACAGCCCCACCCCACCCATCGTGGCCCCACTCCTTTGCGATTGGTATCACATCTTTGTGGACCATTTCACTTTCATTTCTGCATGTGTCCTAATTAAGTCTGAGTATTCAGATGTCACTTCTTCCTAGAAACTTCATGTGATCACACCAGCCCATTTGTCTTGATTCATATGTTTAATCACTTTATGAGATTAACATGTGATTTACTGCATTCTAGAATGTACTATTATGAGCACAGTGATTTTTGTCACTTTTATACTTTGTCCTCAGCGGTGAATGAATAGGCCCTGTTGCCTCTCAGGCTAGTCTGGAATTTTTTTTTTTTTTTTGGTGGAACTGGGGATTGAACTCAGGCCCTTGTGTTTGCCAGGGAAGCGCTTATTCCACTGAGCCATCTCCCTGGCCCTGCTAGTCTGGAATTTTGCCTGGCAGCCTTGACATCTAGTTTGATGGGAAAGAAGTTGGGGGGGTGGGGAGAAGTTCCTAGGAGGCAGTATAACAATCATCAAGTTTGCAGAAGATTGCCTTTGATTATATATGCCGAGTTCTGGCAGATTTTGTTAATCTTGCCTTAAAATCTAAACAGATTGGAGCCAGGTGTGGTAGGACGGGCCTTTAGTACCAGCTACTCAAAAAGGCTGAGTTGAGAGGGTCACATGAGCCCACAAATTTGAGACCAGCTTGGGCACATAATGAGATGGCCATCTCCAAAAGAAAAAAAAAAAAAAAAATTGTACCTGGGTGTGATGGTGCATGTCTATAATCCCAGCAGGAAAGTCATTTAGTTCAAGCCTGAGCTACATAGTGAGACCCTGTCTCAAAAAACAAAACAGGGGCCAGGGAGATGGCTCAGTGGAATAAGCGCTTCCCTGGCAAGTGCAAGGGCTTGAGTTCAATCCTCGGTTCCACAAAAACCAAAACAAAACGCCCAACGAAGTTGAAAAATTTGTTAAAGTAGCCATAGTTCTTTTCATGACTTATGACGCATTCTTTCATAAACGGTGTCTCAGTCTCATCACCTGCCTAGGCTTCGGGGTAGAAACTCAGCATTGGCTTTTCCAAATTCAGTAAGTTACCAAAAGAACTGACTGGGGCTGGGGAGATAGCTCAGTAGAATAAGCACTTGCAAGGGCCTGAGTTCAATCCCACAGTACCACCAAAAACAACAACAGGAGCCGGGGAGATGGCTCAGTGGAATAAGTGCTTCCCTGGCAAGTGCAAGGGTCTGAATTTAATCCCCGGTTCTGCAAAAAAGAAAAAACAAAAACCAACAACAACAAAAACAAATTGAACTGACTACTTGTGAATCATTTCCTGAGTTCATGCTCATTTGCACCATCAGGCCCGTGCATCTCTTGTGGTTTTTTGTTTTTTTTTTTTTCCCCCTTATTACCTCACCTAACAAAACAGAAGCCATTTTGGCCATGATGCACAAGGGATATTATTTTTCTGAAACTTGGATTTGATCTTTATGATAGCTTGTGAACATGTTAAAGCTCTGGCTCAACCTTCAATTGTAGCTCAGTAGTAAAATTTTTACCTAGCCTGTGAGAAGCCATGGATTCAGCTGACATCTCCTCCCATAAAAAGTTAAAAACAAAAACAAACAAAAACCTTTGTGTCCCCTACTGCTTTAGGAGGACGTTTATTAGATTTTTATTCTCTCAAGTGCATCATAAATTTCAAGTGTTGCCGGGTGTGGTGGCCCACACCTGTAATCCAGCACACAGGAGGCTGAGGCAAGAGGATCATTTCAAGTTCCAGACCAGGCTGGGCTACAAAGTGAGCTCAAGGCCAACCTGAACTGCATAGCGAGACCCTTTCTCAAAAAGACAAAAAAAAAAAAAAATTAATTTATAGAGTTAAAGGTGTGAAATAAGCCTCTCTTAACCTCTAGGTGAGCTATTTCAAGGCTAATAGTGGACGGCCTCTGAGGTTTTACTAGCTCTGTTCTCGGGTTGTAACTAGCTGCTCTTAGCTTTGTTTTCCCATAGTGCTTTGCTTTCTCCTCTAATGGTAGCAGTTCCCATTTATTGTGCATTTCATATGTGCTACATATTGTAGGAAGAGTCTGCTATATTCCATCCTCCCAGCAATTCTAGAAATAGAACTACTGAGGAGAAAAACCGAGCTTCAGGAAATCCTCCCAAGATCCCTCAGTGGCAGGAGCTAAAATTTGGACCTGCAACCATAACGTCTTTCTCTGTATATCACCATGAAATGTAGTTCGCATTTATTCTGACGTTGGATCTGTGTGTTCTTCAGTCCCTCTCTACCCCCGTTTGCAGTTTTTTTCAGTGCTCAAGGGCTTAATGTTTGAATTAGTAGGGAATAAGTTTTTAATCCATTATTCACCGATGTTGTTAAAAGTTGATCCCCATGTGTCGTCTTGTCTCCACAATGCATGACAGAGGTTCTCTGTGTGTCTTGTTCTAGCTTTTGCTCTGCATGCCTGCAGGAATGTCTGAAGCCGAAGAAACCTGTCTGTGGGGTGTGTCGCAGCGCTCTGGCACCTGGCGTCCGAGCTGTGGAGCTCGAGCGGCAGATCGAGAGCACAGAGACTTCTTGCCATGGCTGCCGTAAGAACGTATGTGGGAGTAATGTGAAGAGTCTGTGTCTGTCAGAGATGAGAGGGGTTGAAGTGTAATGCTGTTGCCACATTGTTCGTGAAGTTAGAGCATGACTCAGTGACTAACAGCACTTGTGTGTGCCAGGTATCTCTGGTGATAACGAAGCTATTTTCATTTCTGTGATCTTACTGGTTTTGGTGGTTGGTTTTTTTTTTTTTTTTATGAGTTGGTTTAAGCTATTGTATATTTGGCTTTGAAAGCCAAACAAATGACTTACCTCAGTTTTTTCCTATAATAGATCCATTTTCCAAAATATCATGATTATTTTGTTTGGTATTCGGTACAGGGAATCGAGATCAGGACCTTGTGCTTGCCAGGCAAACACTGTGCCACTGAGCTATATCCCTGGCCCAATATCAGGATTTTTTAAAAAGCCAGTCAGTGACTCAAAAGTTATTTGCTCCAATGAGTATGAAGGGAAGCTTCATAATCTACACACTGGAGATAAATTTAATGGTTCAAGCCAGGCGTGGTAATGCACGCCTGTATTCCCCCCACTGGAGAGGCTGAGGTGGGAGGATTGCTGTGAGTTCAAGGCCAGCCTGGACTCAATGAGACCCTGTCTCAAAAGATTATAGGAAAAGAAAATTTTTTAATAGTTCAACTTTTTAGCACTTAGCAGGGAGGAACTATGGAATAAAAGTTAATCAGAAATCATAATAGTAATATTTTGAAAAGCACCCACTGTGTAACCATGTTAGAGTCAGGTATAACTGCTGCTAGAAAGGATGACTACTTGCTCTTTTACTTTTTCAAGAAATGCACATAGGGCCGGGGAGATGGCTCAGTGGAATAAGCGCTTCTCTGGCAAGCGCGAGGACCTGAGTTCAATCCCCGGTTCTGCAAAAAAAAAAAAAAAAGAAAGAAAGAAATGCACATAGCCTTATTTTTCTTTATAGTTTTATTTTTCAGTCATGACCATTTTATTAGTTCAGTAAAAAAATATATAAAATAATAGGACTAGGGATGTAGCTCAGTGGTATGGTGCCTATCTGACAAGCACCAAGTCCTGAGTTCGAGTCCCAGTAGCAATAAATAAAGTACTCTAGGTTCTCCAGGGATGGTCACTTTGAACGTGGTTCCATTTAGAACACTGCCTGGCATTTTCTACCCTTTGACAAACACTGATGTAAAAGTATTACGAACAAAAATGTCATTTTTTTTTTTTTAAACTGGGATCTTTTTGGAGTTTGTATGTTCAAGACAGGGTCTCTATATGTAGTTCAGGCTGGCCTTGCACTCTGTAGGTGAACTTGCAGTGATCCTCCTGCCTCAGCTTTCTGAGAGCTGGGATTGTGAGCATGTGCCACCACACTCGACCTAATGGGGTCATATACATATTTCTTCTGCTTCACACTTTTTTTTTGTTTGCTGAACCGGGGATTGAACTCAGGCCCTTGCGCTTGCCAGGGAAGCGCTTATTCCACTGAGCCATCTCCCTGGCTCCTTGCTTTACACTTTTGAAGATTTTATTTCACTGACTTATTCGACAGCCTTGTGTGTCCATATCATTCTATTTAACACTGCTGTGTGGGTGGCCATAACACAACGATGCCCCCCCAAAAAAAAAAAACAAAAACGCCGCAGCACAGCTATGCATTACCTTCTCCTGCCTTTCACGGTGACTTAGGGTTAGGAGTGCACAGCAGTGTGATTCTGCTGCACTGCTGTACAAGGCTGCTTCCCATCCTTTTTACTTGGGGGTACCTTACTTAAACACTTACGTTCAACAAGTTCTTGAGCTGAGGTAAGACACAATCATCAAGGTAAGCCAGCGCCCAGAGAATGGATTTTTTCCATACAGTTTCCTTTAACTTAAAACCTTAAGGTAATGAAATAAAATATCCTATTGTTTTATCCTTCTTACATGAATGGTGCTCTTTTCTCCCCCTGTATGTTTTTTGTTTTCTCCATTTTAAAGATTAGTGATTATACTGTGGCACACCTCCAAAGATTTTCTTCTTTCTTCTCCTCTGTCTTCATTCCTTACGCTTTTTCTTTAAGAAAACCAGAGTGCCTGCTTGGCAAGCGCAAGGTTGTGAGTTCAATCCCCAGTACCATCAAAAAAAAAAGGAAAGAAAAAGAAAACCAGAGTTCTATCTGAGACTAGGGATGTAGCTTAGTGGCAGAGCTTGCCTAGTGTGTCTGACCTGAATCCTGTCAGCACAGCAAAAATAGGGTCTGAGCATATATGTGTGTGTGAGGCTCTGGGTCTGGTCCCCAGCTTTACATGGAGAGAGGGGCCAGGCATGAGTGTGCATACCTGTAACTGAAGATTTGGGAGGCTGAGACAGGGAGATCACTAGTTTGAGCCCCACCTGGGCAAGTTAGCAAGGTACTGTCTCAAAAAGCAAAGATGGCATAAGGGATATAGCTCTGTATAGAAGTCCTGGGCTCAGACCCTAGTAGCACTGCAAAAAACGCAGAATTCATGTTTTTTTTTTCTCTCCATCTTACTTTGCACATCCTATATATATATTTTTTTTAATTTTTTATTTTTTTTGGTGGAACCAGGGATTGAACTCAGGCCCTTGCGCTTGCCAGGGAAGCGCTTATTCTACTGAGCCATCTCCCCAGCCCCCTTTTTTTTTTTGCACATCCTATAGTTTATATGAACTAATTCAGATTTCAGTTTTGTCAAGATCATTTAGGCCGGGAATGGTGGTACATACCTGTAATCCCAGCACTTGGAAAGCTAAGGCAGGAGGATTGTTTCAAGTCCAAGATCAGCGTGGGCTACAAAATGAGCTCAAGGCCAGCCTGAACTGCATAGTGAAACCCTGTCTCAAAAAAAAAAAAAAAAAAAAAAGAGTCCAGGCACGGTGGCACGCGCCTGTAATCCCAGCCATGGGGAGGCAGAAACTGGGAGGATCGCTACAACCTATGTAGTGAGACCCTGCACACACACACACACACACACACACACACAAAGGGGCGGGGGAGGGGTTGGGGAAATAGCTCAATAGAATAAGCACTTGCCTGGCAAGCAAAAGGGCCTGAGTTCAATCTCTGGTTCTGCAAAAAAAAATCATTTATCAACTCTTGCATAGTAGTACATAATTGTAATCCCATTTACTCGGGAGGCTGAGGCAGAAAGGTTACAAATTCAAGGTCAGGCTGGGCAACTTAATGACAGGCTTTGTCCAAGATGAAATTTTCTGTCTCAAGATAAAACTTTTGAAAGGCTGGAGATCTAGCTTAATGGTAGAGCACTTGACTAGTGTGTTTGAGGCCTGGGTTTGATCTCTGTAGTCCCTCTCCACTTCATTTGTCCTAACCTGATGATTGATACTTAAATCAGGGTTACTAACCCATGTCCCTTTTACCTCACTGATCAGTTTTCAGTGCTGGACGTGGAGTGTGGCTCTTGGCTTGCTGGAAGATGACTTATTTATTTATTTATTTATTTTTTCGGAACCAGCAAAGACTGCTAGTTTAAATGCAAGATGGAAAACTGGATTTGGAGCAAGTCTATAAGTAGAAAGCATATCATGAGTGAAACAGGTCCCCATCATGAGTGAAACAGGTCCCCTGAATTATTTTATGGTGGAAATAGATGTGAATTGGCCTAGTGAAATGTTAGCATTAATATGAATGTGTACAATAGGGTCTTGCCCCATTTATGTGTTTAGGAATATTGATTGTTCACCAAGATGGTATAGATTGCCCTTGCTTTAGGACTCTCTGCCTGATAAAAGATTTTCACTAACTTGTGGGTTCTGATTCTTCCTTTTTAAGTTCTTCCTGTCTAAGATCCGGGCCCATGTGGCCACCTGCTCCAAATACCAGAATTACATCATGGAAGGAGTGAAGGCTACCACGAAGGATGCATC